CCTCCTTCCTCAGCCTCCCCTGACGCTCTCCACTCCCCGGCACTGACTCTTCCTTTCTCTTCCCCAGCCTCTCCCCTCTCCCTTCCCCTTTCCTTCCTGCCAGGAAGTGTTGATTACAGATCACATCAGAGCCTGTCGTTTGTCACAGCAGCTGGCCTCTGCGCCCTCTGCTGTCACCAAGCCTTGCCCCTGGCCTGCCCTCTGCCTGCAAGGCACCCTGCCGCCTCCCCACGTGAGGCCCACTCGGCCTTCCGAGGTCAGCCCCTGTCCACTTCCTCCAGCTTTCCCTGATGTCATTGCCGGCTGTCACTGTGTCACCTGCTTGGCCACACGGGTCACTGTGGCACTCTTAGTTTCTTTGTGTGCTTGCTGGAACATCATTCTCACCGTGCTAGTCTCCAGGCTTCACGAGGGCAGGGTCTTGTGTGCTTGTATTCCCTTGTGTCCCCTGCACCCGGCATGGAGTCTGAACTTCATGGGTTCTCAGTGGATTTTTTTTTTTTGAGTTGGGGTCTCACTCAGTCACCCAGGCTGGAATGCAGTGGCACGATTACAACTTACCGCAGCCCCGACCTTCTAGGCTTAGACAATCCTCCTGCCTCAGCCTCTTCAGTAGCTGAGACTGCAGGCATACACCACCATGCCCAGCCAATTTGTACAGACAAGGTCTTGCTATGTTGCCCAGGCTGGTCTCAAACTCCTGGGCTCAAGCAGTCCTCTCATCTCAGCCTCCCAAAGTGCTGGGACTACAGGCACAGGCCACCATGCCTGGCTAATTTTTTTTTTTTTTTGTAGAGATGAGGTCTTGAACTCTTGGGCTCAAACAATCCTCCCACCTCTGCCTTCTGAAGTGCTGGAATTACAGGCATGAACCACCACATTTGACCTCAGTAGGAATTTTCAATAAACAATTCTACTCCATACTAGGGCAAATATAAACTAGCAGAAGTGTGGGCTTTAGAAACATGCAGATGTGAGTTTAAACTGCTGACTGTAGGAGAGCAGCCTAACCTAGATAACTGATTTATGCTCTCTTACCTTACTTTGATCATCTGTAGAATGGGGATAAGGTGTACCTTGTGGGCTGCTGTGAAGATTAAATGAGGTCCTTATTGCAGGTACCCATCCACCAAGGCTCTTTTGGATTTTGTTTGCATGGCATTGTAGGATTATCTGTGTATATTTCTTTTTTCTTCTTCTTTTTTTTTTTTTTTTTTGAGTCAGAGTCTCACTTTGTTATCCAGGCTGGAGTGCATGGCTCATGGAGTGCACGCTCATGGCCACCACAGCCTTGACCTGCTGGGCTCCAGTGATCCTTCTGCCTCGGCCTTCCAAGTAGCTGGAACTACAGGTGTGCGCTGCCACGCCCACCTAATTTTTTGTTTATTGTAGGGACAAGGTCTTGCCAATTTGCCTGGGCTGGCCTCAAACCCGTGGGGTCAGGCAATCTACTTGCCTCGGCCTCCCAAAGTGCTGGAATTACAGGCTGAGCCACCAAGCCTGGCCTTTTTTTTTTTTTTTTAAAAGAGATGAAACTGTGCTGCCCAGGCTAGCCTTGAACTTTTGGCCTCAGGTGATCCTCCCACCTTGGCTTCTCAAAGTGCTGGGATTGTAGGCAGTGAGCCACCGTGCATGGTCAAGAGTGAGGTCTTGATGACTTCACAGGAGTAGATAATAAGACAGGAGTTTCTCTTTTTCATTTTTGTCCTGTCACTTTAAGGCCCACTGAAGCCCAAAGGATGTACCGTCATGGACTGGTAGGCTTAGTTATTAGCTGGACCCGTGTTCATGTAAATGTTCCTACCCATTGCAGCAGATGCTACAGGTTTGCCTCTGGTTGCAAGTTCTTGGCTTCCCCATGCAGCCGCTATAAAGGGACAAGTGAGTGTATTCCAGTGTGATGATGGGGAGGGGCTCTCGGTTCTGATTTACTTTCCCACTTGATGTACTAGATTTGAACTTCTGGAGTCTCCTGGCCCCCAGAACCACACATGCTCCCTTTGTTTTTTTGTTTTCTTGTGGGTTTTTTGTTTTTGTGGGTTTTTTTTGAGTTGGAGTCTCACTCCGTCACCCAGGCTGGAGTGCACTGGCATGCTCACGGCCAACCCAGTGTTGACCTGCTGGGCTCTGGCAGTCCTTTCGCTTCAGCCTTCCAAGTAACCGGAACTACAGGCGCGCTACCATGTCCAGCTGATTTTTTTTTTATTTATTGTGGAGACGAGGTCATACCATGTTGCCCAGGCTGGTCTTGAACCCACGGTCCTGGAATTACAGGCTTGAGCCACCACGCCCGGTCCCCATGCTCCCTCTGACCTTGTGAAAGTTACTTGATGCCAGGGAACACTGGGGGCTGCAGCCTTTCTCTCCCTGCCAGTGCGTGAGCAGCTGTTTCCAAGATTAGAATAGAGGTGAGAGTGATGGTGGGAGATTCCTGGCCTCCCTCCTACAAAGTGTCAGAAGGAGAATTGGATTAATGGGTATTTATCTAATAAGCTGTCCTGCGGCACAGAAGAAGAATTTCCCAGACCTGGCTGCCTAGCCTTGATACCCACAGCTATTCTTCTGTGAGGGAAGTGGGTATCAGCATTTTGGATAACCAGGCAGAGCAGTGGCTTGTGACCTTGGCTGCACAGCAGTTACTAGGGAGCATTAAAAGCCACAGGTGCCTGGTCCCACTGAAGAGGTACCCATTCATGGGTTGGGTGTGGCCTGGGACTCAGGATTTTAAAATCTTGCAGATAACACTAGTGTGCAGCCAATGTTAAGAATCACTGGTTTTGTTTATCCATTCTATCTCAGGAAAGGGAAAGTCATTATACTCTATGTTAGAATTCTTTGAATGTTCACGGTTGCCAAAGCTCATGGGTCTATTTGCTGAGATGAATAACAGTTGAGTTAGAATAACTGGCATTTGGGCTGGGCACGGTGGCTCAAACCTGTAATCCCAGCACTTTGGGAGGCTGAGGTGAGGGGATTGCCCAAGCCCACGGGTTCGAGAACAACCTGGACAACTTGACGAGACCTCATCTCTACAATAAATCAAAAAATTAGCCGGGTGTGGTAGCACGCACCTGTAGTTCTGGTTACTTGGAAGACTGAGGCAGAAGGATTGCCTGAGCCCAGCAGGTCGACGCTGGGGTGGCTGTGAGTGTGCCACTGCACTCCAGC